ATATTTAAGAGTATCCTTGAACATATTTAAGAGTATCCTTTTTTCGAATGACCGTATTTAAGGGTATCCTTGACAATATTTAAGAGTATCCTTGGCCATATTTAGGAGTATCCTTGACCATATTTAAGAGTATCCTTGACCATACTTAAGAGTATCCTTGACCATATTTAAGAGTATCCTTGACCATATTTAAGAGTATCCTCTTTTTCAAATGACCATATTTAAGTGTATCCTTGACCGTATTTAAGAATATCCATTTATTCAAATGACCGTACTTAAGAGTATCCTTGACGGCACCACCCAATAGTCCTTTGCGGGCATATGGTGATCCAAGTGCAGTAAGCTGATTTTCGTCAGTAAATTTTGCAAGGAAAGACAGGAAAGCATATAGGTCTACTTTTCGAGGATCGATATTGCTTTTATGACTGATAACGTCTGATCGAACTTAATACAAGCTAATGAGCAACCGAATAGGAATAAATATTTTCCACTTAAAATATTGCCTTATTGTTGAAGATTTAAATCTAGTAAAAAATGGATTAAAAAATAGAAAAATTTTATATGGATATGAGACGGGATTCAAACCTACCAAAAGAAATTTTCGAAAATGCGATATTTTTCGCTGTGCTATACCCCGAGACATCCACAGAGGTGAGGCGGCGTATGGACTTCTGACCTGAAAAATAAACTTGGTCGCGGGTTCCCTGTGGTTGCTATCACATATAGGACCGTGAGGGACTCGAGTCGAATCAAAATATAGCTATTCAAAATGGCGGACGAACAAGAACTTGGCGAAAAAAAGACAATAATCCAAGCCTTTGACCCCACAGAATATCAGCACACCAGATATAATCCACTAAAAGGAGAATGGGTTTTGGTTTCTCCACACCGTATGAAAAGACCTTGGAAAGGACAGGTTGAGAAGAAGGATGAAGATGAGATTCCCCGGTGGAACGAGAAGAATCCTTTATGTCCCAGAGCAGTCCGTGCCAGCGGGAAGGCAAGAAAACTAGAATAACTAGTTCTATTTAAATTAATATAATTATTAGCGGACTTGCTATTCATGGTAGTTTATTCATTTTCTTGCAGGTAAACCCGGATTATTCCAGTACATATGTCTTTGAAAATGATTTCCCAGCCCTTTTACAGGGCGACGCTCCTTCTCCAGGTGAGTGTCTGCTCGCTGGCAGCCCAAGCAAGGTTCCTGTGTTTTGTGTTTTTCTTTTTAAACCAATTTATACTGACTTCCATACATCCCCTTGGAGCGTTGGTTTGTTTGGGCTACCTGTGGTGTAACTACGATAAATCATCCGTCCCTCCCTCCCCTAAAATATATTGACTTAACAGTGTAAACTGTCTGCCAATGGTGGGGTGGGGTGGGTGGGGGCCACAAGCACCACTGAATCCTCCTTGATACAAAATAATAGAAGTTGGGTGTTGCTAATATCCTATATGCTACAAT